TACCTCTGTGTTTGTTTTACGTGATATTTTTCCTCACCGTAAGCATTCAAAACGAAATGCACTAGCGGTTTTAGTTCCAGAGTTTACTAAGTTCCTAAGGCCAACATTGATTTTGGTATGCAGAGTCTTGTTATTAGTTGCAGTGTCGACATATTTTTGTGATCGCATCTTGGTTATCTGATAGCTCTGCCTAAAACACGACCTCGTTGCCACTTTTGTTTGGGTTACATGTCATGGTATCACCAGCTTTAAAGTACCCCGTTTTCGTTTTTGGCTCTAAGTAATCTGTCCTTTCATTCATCCCATAGTCTTTTTGTTGTTTTTCTCCTTGCCTAATTTTTGTTTTTGCAGTTTCTTGTACCTCTTTGAACGGGGGGGGGGTTGGATTCGATCTTGTTACTATCGTCAGTTTTATTCACCCTTTCCTGTAGGGACGAAGTAGCAACACGATTTGCATCGTTCACAATGTCATCTAGAGCATTGACAGCAGGATCTTCGTAATCATTTATAATCTCGTCCTTGGGCTTGTTTGGGTCCGCCAAAGATTCGTTTCCACTATGTTCATGGAGCCGATTTTGGTATTCCCGTTTTGTTAATAAACGATCTAGTAATTTCTTAACAACGTTACCTAAGTCATTAGCAGCAGAATCTACGTTATCTTTTATCTTTTATGTCTATGGTTGGGTTCATTTGGATCTGCCCGTGACATTATCCTGTTGAAAATATTTTTTATGGCCCCGGTCATGATGTCATCAGCCTTGAGAACTCCGAGATGATCACCGCTCTCAATGAAGCTTTGGCTGGCGGCAGAGTATTTTTGGCTTTTCTGGATCAGCTAAGTTACGAAAAACATTCTTGTAAAATCAGCAAAGTTCAACCAGAAACTAACTCTCTCTCTCTCTCTCTCTCTCTCTCTCTCTCTCTCTCTCTCTCTCTCTCTCTCTCTCTCTCTCTCTCTCTCTCTCTCTCTCTCTCTCTCTCTCTCTCTCTCTCTCTCTCTCTCTCTCTCTCTCTCTCTCTCTCTCTCTCTCTCTCTCTATGAAGCAACCCGTGCGCTACGGTTCAACTACATTACCCGGTGAACCTTGCTAAGACGTAGCCCAAGCTTTGTGCACACGTGGAGGTTGCAGTAGTAAAAAACGCATCGAAGCTTGATACTCAGGGACGGATGCAGTGGACTATCTCCTCCGACATCCAGTTGGCGGGCTCTGTATCATAGCCCTCCTATAATTGATTAGTGATCCATGTTGTTAGCTTGCAGATGTCAGAGTCAAAATATTTCGGTCTATTTGTCTTGGCTTCGTGGCAGCTCAAAATCGAAAGGCCTCCATGGATTCCACTTTCGAAGATCAGGTGCTGATCAATGTAATCAGTTCCAGCTTTACATCCGCATTTTTCAGAAAAGCATTTCAACTCCGTCATGGCCAGCCGTAGTTACAAGGAGGATATAGGCCATATTTTTTCACAGAGGTATTGCAAAGGCCTCAAACATGTCCCCCAGTAGGAGCACATCCGTCTTTAGGGAAAGGTCCTGGTAGTCATAGAGATTCCAGCAGTCGGAGGCCTTCAAAAGTTCTGTATGTGCTAGTATTCATTTCTGAAACTTCTAAGTTGGTTGTAGAATGTTTAGATGTGTGAAAGGTTTGGTTCCTCTAATGGTTTCAGTGGCTCATATAATTGTTGTGGTAAAGCCCCTTTTCGTACACAAGCTCATATCCCTTTCGCTATGCACGGAGTTCATCCAAAACGTTTCCTTAGACAAGATATCTGTCAGCTTTCTAAGAACATAGCGTTAATCTTTTCAGTGAATTAAGTCCAACCTGCTGTATCAGCATCCACGCAGTTTGTAAAATATATCTGGAACATTCGCCCTTTTATTCTGGGTAAATCCGCTGATGACACGCACGCGTTGTGGGCTAAACCTCTGAACATCCCAATAATATGGAAGTCAACCCTGGATGAATCCTCCATCTAATGTCTTTTGATAAATGTGGCTGGTATCGACTGCGTCTATATCAATTACCATCTCCGTTGGATCCTCCTCTTTTTAACGGTCAAGACTTCAGATGCGTCGCTAAGGGGAAGCATATTTTCGGCCGTGAGCTGTGAGGGTGGGCGTGGTGGTGGTGGGGGGTAAACTCGGCGTGGAGTATGGGTGTATAATTATTACATGCTTTCTATCTGCTTAGGCAATATCTGATTTTCGTTTCTAATTAAATCAAAATATATGTATAGTAGAAAGGGCATATATAGCATATTTTTCTAGATTGTTTTCGAGGATAGCCTATTATGATCAAGGAATTTAAAAAGTATCTCACGGTGCTATTATCCCCTTACTCACTAACAAAAAGATATCAAAATACTTTAATAATAAAGTCTACTGTACACATCATATACAGTAATGTTATAGCAGATCTGGGTTTATGTTGTTTGTTCCAATGATTTTTCCTAACTTAGGTGTGCCGGCGCATGATGATGTTTGCAGTTGGATGGATGCGATCTCTACGCTAGTATTAACATGATGCTAACTTTAAAGATGTTCCGAGTGGAGATGGTGGCATAAGTCTCTTTGCTGGCAGGTAATGTTTCCATTTTGGGAGGCAGATACTGTAAATTCGTTTATTTTAGTGAGAACATTTTTCGCGATATTGCTAAAAAGATATATTTGTCGCTACATAAATTCATGGACTGTGCAAGAAGTTCAGTTGTTTCCATAAGGATTATTTTTGCTGGGTCTTTATATTCATGGTTTAAAGCAGCCAAGAAATCAATTAAAGGTTTCTTGCCCAGAAGAAGTAGGGTTGGATGCATACATGCACGTACAGGATTTAACAGCACATCTTCTCAATCCTCTTTCTATAGAGCAGAGTGAGGTTTATTTATCCTAACAAAGGCTTACAAAACCAAGGTAATGGTAATGAAGTTAAAAAACTTTAATAAAGAGTAAAGTATTTTATGTAAATATATTTTTTTTAAGTCCATGACTTCCTCAACTAGAACATCTTCACGGGCACATCCCGTTACCTTAACCATTAATTACTTCTTCACAACATGAGGAAGGAAAAATGAGACCAGTTTACATCACCAAGCCCGAAATGGAATGTGAAAGAGAAAACTATATATTCCCCAAATTCATAAGCGACAGAAGGGAGCAGATCCGAGTAAAGAACTTTTAGCAAGTTTTTTTTTTTAAATATCAGATTTTACTGAAAGCGAATTCATATGTTTATTCATGTATCATGAATTCAGAACTACAGAGATAGCTCAAGTCATTCATTGGCATTGATTGGCAAATCCCGAATCATGTTGAGGAATATCATCGGACCAGGTAGGAAGGTCTGTTTGTTTTGGGGGTTTTTTGTACAAAATGTCTGCTTTCAGTAATTGCAGAAATAGTGCTAAGATAGAAAACAAAAGCGGAGAATGGCATCCATGCGTGAAATGAAATAGCACAGAATTAACGCAAAAGGAAATTGTCAGATTATTTAGCTATCAGTCACATTTCGTGTTAGTTTCCGTTAATGTAAACATATGCATTTGAATTACTTATCAAATTAGGACAAATATGTGTTTTTCGTTGCGTAATAGAACAGTTTATTTATTGTTTGGCTGATATTGATGTCAAATGTGGGATCATGAACAGTGTAACCGTTCAGTCAATGTTGTTTTATGGTCAAACGCGAATGCCCACGCTTTATTGTATAATAAGCTCGATCAATAAAAATATAACTTTTAACAACTTCAATAGTTGTTGTATATTTTTCTCTAAACTTCGTCACATACCTTAAAACACAAAATTTATGATAAAAATAGGGGTCTATGACATTTTGGATTCTTCTAGCTGCGATATTGCTGTAGGTATTACGTTCTTCTGTCTTCTGAACGCGTGGCAGTTGGAATCGTGTTGTCTCCATTATTGTTTCTGACAATATAATGTCCTCTATCTTGTCGTTCAATTCTACTATCTGCATAACACGAATGTTGTTCATTCAGAATGAACGACAATTTTTTAGATACTGCTTCACACAGCCTTGTAGGCACTACTGTTAGTCACATTTTGATATACTACAAGCTAGGGCCAGGGGGGAATTGGAAACTCCACAGAGCTGCTACACTGCATCTGCTCCTTTGATTATGCCAATGAAAACCCTTGTCGTCTGCTCGACTGTACTTAGCTCCGCACATGAAAAGGGATAGAAAATAAAGTTGTCATTTGGTTTAAAACGTTCTTACGATAACCTAGGTCAGTTAGTTGATGGGTTCTGATGAGAAAGATTTATAATGATTTATGCATTCATTGATATTTTGGAGACTGGTTTATTTGATTAATTTTTTTAATACAATTTTTCAAATAAAAATATATTGTAATAATGCTGAGCCTTACATGAAAAATTGGCTTATTGCCAAGCGTATAATAGAATGAAGGAAAAATAAATTTTACTGGCTGCCCTCAGTTGCGTTATTTTGTAATTTTACATTGGAAAGTCAACTGCATATTTTAAATAGCAACACCGTTCATGCTTATTCCGATATCAAGTCTGAATGTTCAGTTCATATTTAAAAAGTTACAAATGAAACAATTTCTCAACCCGAAATTAGAATCGATGTTCTTTATGTTTAATTTTTTTTCCTATACCTTGCACCGAAATCTTAGACGCACATCCTTAGGTGAAATTGGGCTGAGAAAACATTAATAGTTAAAAAGTTGTTATTTTTCCAGAGTTTAGCGTCAATATCTTTGCACCAAAGTCTCCTATTCGAGTGAAATATTTTGATTTGATAATGTTTAAATAAGTGTGAATTTAATATAAAACGATTCCAAATTCGATTGGACGATTTAATTATATTTTATGGAAGAGTCGTGCATTTAGATATCGTAATGAATTGCATTATCGTTTATAGTATTTAGTCTTCACAGTGCTGACTAATCCTAGCACTAACCTCTTAGTTCTAAGCGCCTAGTGAGGCAGCTGTATAGTACTATTTTTGTAAGTCTTTGTTATAACTCGGCGGAGTTCAGAACCAGCTATCTCCCGCATCCGAGGCGGACGCTCTAACCACTAAGCCAAGGGAACGGGGAACGGTGGTCTTCGTTTTCGTATTTGTGGCAAATCTAGAGCTTGGTCGTCTACACTGCCGTTCATGTTTACGATTTAGTCTAACTGTACGATTGTTAAGAAAACGTATAATAGCTAAGGAAGCCTAAACCAGTTGCCAACAATCGGAATACTACCGAAAACAAACTCAGGTAGAATATATCCGCCATATTTACAACTATTGTTAGGAAAGAAAAGCGTGTTATCCGTTGATATGGCACTATAACTTCCGACAAAGGTTTTACATGAATTGTATATAAATAACTGCTCCAAACACCATCATAGTCTCTTTGGGGTATACAGAAAGGGAGAGCGATATTCTACATCTGTTTTCCTATGCTCCTCATAGTGGGTAACCTCTGTTGTCACAACGCTGCAAATGTGGTTGTAAAATGCCTCCTGGAGAAAACCGTTCATTTTGATACCTGCATCAAACTCAGTTTAGACAACATTTGTTGCGTTCCTTTCTTAACAGAAGTGTAGAATGGAAAGTTTTGCTAAAACGAAGTAGGAAAAAGTATATGGAACTCTGGGATGATGATGTTCCAAGGTAGGATGCGACAGACGTAACAATATGCTGATGACATGACAATCAGATGTATCTGAGCCATCATACATCATCCGGATGCATTGTTTCCACTGTTTGTTTGAAAAATAAGATTTCAATATATGATGAAAGAATTAAAGTAGGATCCGGTAAATAAGCACGTATACTAATTCCTGTTGACGATGTATTAGGTTTAAATGACACAGGGGCCAAAACAATAATCCGGCAGTGATATATTCTATAAGTGTGGTTTGGTTTGGTTTTTTGTTCTAAACCGGAAGTAAAACAGTTTTTGATATCATTGAACGTTACATTGTCATGACGATAATGGTAGTACAACATTACGCTTAAATAATATAAACCAATGAATGTACATGTACAAGGACCGAGCAATGCGATGTCATTTGAAAATAATCAAACTATTGAAATTCAAAACATTGCATTGAAATAAAAAGATCGAACAAAGAGAGGTCTAGTTGTTATCTCTGAATATGCAATGGACATTAATGAACATTTGAATATTTAAATTATTAAAGTAATTGAAACTTATTGTGGAAACTGTTTTTGTCCAAGGCAAAAAGCCACTCATAGAAAGCAAAAAGATAGATGAATCGTTAAATCTGATTGATTTAAGCGTTTCACGAGAAGGTGCATGAACCAAATTGCAACAAATCTGCATGACGTTGCAACGTGTCAGTCATTATGCACATTTGAAAGTCAGCTGTTTTCCCTGGACTTTCTCATTGCTTTTTCTTCTGTCTAGTAATGAGTTAGATTTGAAGCAGACATGTTGCGTGGAAGCTGCATAAACTCTATTTGTAAACAAAATAGTTAATATACCTTTTTCTAAGCTACTGTTATAATTACAAGCTTAAGTTATACTGATATGCATATGAAATATTACGAAGCTTTTCATGCTACAATTTTCATTTTCCCAATCTCTCAAGCATAAAACATAGACCTCATGACAATACACTGCGCTATACGGAAATGTATTCAAGTTGTAGTTTCCGAGTGACTGGTTCCATCGCCAAGAGATAATTTTCACAGTAGAATATGAAAAAAAGATGATTTTAATTTCTGATCTTAAGAGTCCTTTCCCTTAAGATTCGTACTGACAAACGGACATTGAAGAGGTAGATAGGTAGGTAGGTAGGTAGATAGATAGATAGATAGATAGATAGATAGATAGATAGATAGATAGATAGATAGATAGATAGATAGATAGATAGATAGATAGATAGATAGATAGATAGATAGGTAGGTAGGTAGGTAGGTAGGTAGATAGGTAGGTAGGTAGGTAGGTAGGTAGGTAGATAGATAGATAGATAGATAGATAGATAGATAGATAGATAGATAGATAGATAGATAGATAGATAGATAGATAGATAGATAGATAGATAGATAGATAGATAGATAGATAGATAGGTGTAATAGAGAAACATACAGATATTCATGTACATGAAGCAAATAGATAGATGGACAGACAAAATAATTAATTTTAACAGGATTAAAATGCTATGTATTATAATGTGATTTACTGGGGTTTGCTTATGTTTAATTTCACAGAGCAAACCTGGCAATGAACTATTAAAAGCTGTCTCAGTCTTAGATAAAATATGTATACCTGCTTTATATCACGTCTGCTGGAGTAGACAATTATCACGAATTTGTAGTAAGTGAAGTAAAGAAATTATTTACAGCAAGATTCAATATTCACAACTATACGAACTGTTTGAAAGGTAATGTTGACTAATGTAATATAAAACATAACTTTCACAACCCACGCAACTTGAAGAACGTGGAGATCATAATTAGCTTATTCATGTAGTATTTAATTCTTGTCCCACTTTGATCAGATATGCATTCCGCCAAGATAAGCTTTGAATCTATAATAATGCATACATCATTGACTAATTAGCATTTCCTATACTTACACTTTATCCGTCGTAAAATATGTGATAGCTTTGATGTCACAAATATTCAAATTAAAGTTCATTTTTTTACTAAGAATAAATCGCTTGCGGAATGATTTTTAAAAGCGGAGTCTGTAGAGTATGATAATGAGTTTGATGTAATTTATTGCAAAAAATAGTTGTAAAAGCACTAAGCCCACTCCCCCCTCTCTCTCTTATACACACCATATACACACACACGCACACACAGACACGCACAAATTGGGACTCGATCTTGTCTATATCGTAGTCTTTTTTATCTGAAAACTTAGTTATATCATAGGTTAGAATAATTAAAATTCAGATAAACGATTTAACATACGATCTTTAACGCATATGAAAGGTTACAATACAAATTCAATTACAGTGAACCCGTATTGATCTAGACTCGGTAGCAAATCGTTATTGAGTGAACTTTGTACGTTTGTTAATATATTGGTATCAGACGGCGAGGGGGGGGGGCAAGAAATGAGGATGACATAGGCACCAGAAAAATACAACTTTCACTGTCTGCATACCTTTAATAAATACTGATAGTTTGTTTCGATGCACAGATAGTAATTATGCCCTTAACCAGATGCATGGTTTACCGTAATTTAGCATGCACTGTAACTCCAAGGAATTCTTGTGTATCGTAGATCAAAGGGTGGATGTATGGAATGTTAAATACTCAGTTGATTAAATACTCTGATATGAAACGAATTAGTATGTTATCTTTTGCAAACTGTAGATGTTTCATACATGCATTCCGGATATAAATCTTATATTACATTAGGGACGAGTTTTGTCAGTGTTTATATGGGTGCCTTCCCGGTTAGACAAAACACTCATATCATCACCATATACTGCACAACCTCGATAACTCAAACATGAATCCCTCTAATACTTGGCACAACTCGAATGGCTTAATTTGTCCGTATGCAAAACATCATATTGTCAGGGACTTCGAATAGCTCGAAAGAACCGATAATTCGAAGAAAGTGCATCGAATTTTCAATTTTCTTCTTTATGAGCATTGCATTTCTGTCGCTCGCAGGCCAATGCCTTGTCTGCGATAGTATGTTATATATTAGTTATCGTTGTTATTTGTAATCCATATTTTGGTGGTGGTGGTGGTTCAAACTTCTCTGGCACTTCATCAGAGAATCCCAGTATTTGTTCAGTACAAATCAATTATGATCTGCTCGAAAACCTAACTAGTTCTTGAAAGGTTGAAGAGAAAGTTATACCAATATGTACACTATTTTAGGAAGTCCTGTGAGAAAGTTATACCAACATGTACACTATTTTAGGATGTCCTGTGAGAAAGTTATACCAACATGTACACTATTTTATGAAGTCCTGTGAGAAAGTTATACCAATATGTACACTATTTTAGGAAGTCCTGTGAGAAAGTTATACCAACATGTACACTATTTTAGGAAGTCATGTGAGACTGTTTTATATAACTACTTAGAATAACTGAAGTGCATGCATCAAATTTTTATGGCAGTCTAGAAGATTGTTGTCAATGAACACCTTGGTAAAAATGATAGCACCTTGTAACCTGGGACTTCTGGCTGTTGCGTTCATAAAAGGAATCGCAACAAAGTTGAAATGATTTCCTGAATGAATGTAGCAGCTTAGAAAGATATGTGTAGTATTATATGAGAACGCCATACAACTTAGAAAAATTATTACTATCTCGTGTAAAGGTACGAAAATATACCTACATTCTTAAATCATCACGATCTCGTGTACGAGAACACAGTAAATTTCTAAATTATCATCATGAACAAGCCAGGTAAACGTATAAATGGCAATTTAGTTTAAATTATAAATACCTTATTCTCATATTCATACTAACTACTGTCCTGACCAACTGGTAAATTAAAGTTGGGTGGTGGTGAACAATAAATTAAACTAATCACACAGAAAAACTATCAACTCTTGGTGGTGAACTCAGACTATAGCCAGCTTCTAACACGTTCGGAATCGTGAGTCATTTCTATTCAGACTGCATTTTTGTGGAATATACTTGACATTGTTTTTTAAAAAAAGGATAAAATATATAGATTCAAGTAAAAATAATTTTCAAAGAATTGTGTTGTTGTCTCTTAGCTATCTTGCATGAGGTATCTAGTCATATATGATCTGACTTTAATTTTACTTGCGCAAGAGTCCTCATGGCATCCCCGCACCCTCATCGTGTTTTAAGCTCTTGTATCTCCCAAATAATATTCAACCCAGAAACAGTCATTGCCAGTGTTCAGATTAGTAACACTTTCTTTACTAATTTATGCATGCTTTTTGCAATTCATCAAAGAAATATGTTGGAGCTTTTGTAATTTATCTTTCGCACTCAATCTACACAAATACTTCAGCACAGAGTAATTAACAACTTCTTTTACTTTCCTATAAAATGAGGTTAAGAACATGACAGTATAGTAAAAATATTTGAGCTTACATTTGGTAGATGTTCTCTTGAAAGTTTGTTT